ATTAGTTGATGCAAAGCACCTGTGTAATGTTTCTACGTCTGTTGAGGTGATGGGTGGAAGTGACGTCTGACGCTGCATCCTCATCGCATCATGACATCACATTGGGCGTGGTGGGAGGGGCACATATAAAAGGAGCTGGTGTTGGTCATTTGTTCTTGTCGGCTGATGGGGAGGTGGTGTTGGTCGCATTGGTGCATGTGGTGAGAGACAGCAGATATTGACTGATTTGACCCTTTGGCTGATTTTCTGTGGACTTCATTCTAGTCTCCCATTATTATTATTGAATTACTGTTTTTTTTGTTTGGGAGCGGTGTTGTCCACCCTCACTCTGGCTAATTCCTTTGTTCTTCAGGGGCACCTGTCTTCACCTGATCCAAGTATTTCCTTTAGAATTTTCCCCATATATTTGGGTTTAAAGTGGGCAAGGGAGGTAGGTTGATAGTATTCTTTTTATAGGAGTTTTGCCTAAACACTATATTATACCTGCAGCACTATCATTTGTACCTTGTGTCTTATTATTATACAGAATTTATATAGCACCAACAGTTTGCTCAGCGCTTTACAATATAAAGGGAGGCAATACAGCAACAATACAGTTCAATACAAGAGGGATAGGAGGGCCCCTCTGATGATGTGCTTGGGCACGAAAGGCCTTAGGAGGAGGAACCGACATAGCATGACGTCATCTTCCGCCCAGAGCCACGAGACAGCCCGGCGGCCATTTTAATTAAGGGTCAGTACCACTGCTGCGTACTCTGCTGTAATTCATTTACTGTACACAGCCCTACTACCCTGTTTTATACTTCATTTTGATCTAATAAATCTGTTTTGAAATACTACACTATGGGCACCTGTTTTTTGGTTCCTATTGGGAGCTAAATCTATTTGCAGGATCCCTGTAGTGTTCACCTACCACCACCAGAGGGACGGAGCTTTGGATTCTGGCTGATAACCATACCATCCTTAAGGGGACCTCCGGACCTCTGATATATCTTCCCAGGCTGATTGATCCACAGATTGGAGTTTACCCTCTTCATCTACTTTAAGGATTCCAGGGGATATTCATTTATGCGCATTTTCCATGCGCGTCCGGTGAGTGCGCACTCTTTCCATTGTTTCCTGGTCTTCATCAGCTATTTCTTGGGACTTATTCATATATATTCATTTATTAACCACGGACTATTTGCTTTTTGCACTTATTTCTTAGCGCTGCACTCTTTTTTTATTATTGAATTACTGTTTTTTTGCTTGGGAGCGGTGTTGTCCACCCTCACTCTGGGTAATTCCTTTGTTCTTGGGGAGCACCTGTCTTCACCTGATCCAAGTATTTCCTTTAGAATTTTCCCCATATATTTGGGTTTAAAGTGGGCAAGGGAGGTAGGTTGATAGTATTCTTTTTATAGGAGTTTTGCCTAAACACTATATTATACCTGCAGCGCTATCATTTGTACCTTGTGTCTTATTATTATACAGAATTTATATAGCACCAACAGTTTCTCAGTGCTTTACAATATAAAGGGAGGCAATACACCAACAATACAGTTCAATACAAGAGGGATAGGAGGGCCCTGCTCCTTGGAGCTTACAATCTAAGAGGGAGGGGATGGTGGGAAAGGTAATAACTGTGGGGGATGGAGTGGTAAGAGGAATAGAATATTCCATTATTAGCTGAAGGCAGGATAGGCTTCCCTGAAGAGATAGGTTTTCAGAGATTGTCTAAAAGTGGGCCGAGTGGGTGATAGTCTCATAGATTGGGGTAGAGAGTTTCAGAGGATGGGGGAGGCTCTGGAGAAAAGCATGGAAGGAGACAAGGGATCTAGAGAGCAGGAGGTCGTGGAAGGAGCTGAGGTGACGGTTTGGGTGATATTTGGAGACAAGGTTGGTGATGTAATTTGGGTCAGAGTTATAAATGGTTTTATATGTTATTGTTAAATGTTTTGAATTTTATTCGTTGGGCAATGCGAAGCCAGTAGAGGGATCGGCAGAGAGGGATGGCAGATATGGAACAGTTAGTAAGGTGGATGAGTCTGACAGCAGCATTCATAATAGACTGAAGAGGGGATAGCCTGCGATGAGGTCGGCCAATGAGGAGGAAGTTACAATAGTCAAGGTGAGATATAACAAGGGAGTGAATAAGTTGCTTAGTGGTTTCCAAGGTTAGGAACGGGTGTATCTTGGAGATGTTGCGGAGGTGAAGTCTACAAGATTTGGACAGCGATTGGATTTGGAACTGAAAGGACAGATGGGAGTCTAGGATTACACCTAGTACCCTGGCATGAGGGGAGGGACTGATGGTTTTATTATTGATCCTGATGGAGAAGTCGGGGAGGGGGCATGGGCTGGAGGGAATAGTATGAGCTCAGTTTTAAAACGATTGAGGAAGTGGAGTGACATTCATGCTGATATGTCACTTAGTAGGTTAGTAATGCGAGAGGAGACTGAAGGGGTGAGCTGAGGAGTAGATTGATTTGTGTGTCATCAGCATACAGTTAGTACTTAAAGCCATGGGAGTTTATCAATTGACCAAGGGAGGAGGTGTAGATGGAGAAGAGAAGGAATCCAAGGACAGAACTTTGAGGGACACCTACAGAAAGAGGGAGTGAAGGAGACAGTTATAAGTAACTTTGCAATAGATAGAAGGACCAGGAGAGAGCAGAGTCTCAGAGATCGAGAGAGTGGAGTTTGAGGAGGAGGAGATGGTCAACAGTATCAAAAGCCGCAGAGAGGTCACGTAAGAGTATAGAGTAGTGGCCATTGGTTTTAGCAGTTAGTAAATCATTAGTGAGCTTTAGTAGGGCAGTTTCAATGGAGTGGAGGGAAAGATTGTAAGCGGTCAGTGAGGTAGGAGCTCAGGCAATTGTAGGCTAAGCGTTCTAAGAGTTTAGAGGTAAACAGGAGCAGGGAGATGGGTCTTAGGTTGTTCAAGTTGCTGGGGTCCATCTAGGGCTTTTTAAGTATGGGAGTGATGTGTGCATGCTTTAGAGGGGTGGGGAAGGCACCATTACAGAGGGAGAGATTGAAGATGGAGTGAGGAAGCATAGGATAGAAGAAGAGGGTGACTAATAGTTGTGAGGGGACAGGATCCAGGGGGCAGGTGGTGAGATAGGCTTCTGATAAAACTTCAGTGACCTCTTCAGTAGTAGCAAGGTCAAAAGAGGAAAGTGTTGAGGGAGGTTTAGTATAAGGTATGCTAAGTGAGATAATGTCTGTAAAGTGGAAATGCCCCTACGAATTACTTCAACCTTGTTTTTGAAATGATTTGCAATCTCGTGAACGAGGTACTGGGTAGATGTGGAGAAAGTTTCTTTTTGCAGGTAGCGCACTTCGTCTCAGATGTCCTTCCTACCCTCCTCCAGTGGAGCCCATCTAACAACAGGGAGACACAAGATATAGGCCTACTGTAAGCCAGGGGTTCTTAGGAGGCCACCCCCCCAGTGTGTGCACCCATTGGCAGAAATAGAGATCCGTGTGGTGCTGGAGAGAAAAGGAAGCAGAGGGGGAGAAATGCCTCATGCCCCTGCAACAGGAAATAGGAGGAAGCATGGATACAGAGAAGGGGGTCATGCCAGCCAACCGGCTCCTACCTTGCTGCTGGCCTCCCCCAGTTTGGACAGATCCACTTCTATCCTGGCTGTGTATCCCACCCTCAGCGCGGCTGTTCGTAGGGCGGTGGGGCTCTAACCCCCCCGGTCTGGTTGTGCCGACCTCCCCTCACAGCTGCAGTGGGGCAAGCTTGCAGACCACCGCCCATATCCGAGATGTCGGCGGTCCACTTCCTGTTCCTCAGGTGCCAGAAGTGATGCTTGCGGGTGCCGGAAATGACTATCCTGGGTGTGACGTCACCAACCCACGCCTCCTCGCTGGAGATCTCTGCATGCAGCGGAAGGTAGGCTTTGCCCCACAGGGTAGCAGTCCCTTTCCATACAGGTCAGTGGAGCGGGCTGTCGTGTCCCCCCCCCCCCCCCCCCCCCCCCCCCCCCCCCCCCCCAGTGAGCCCCGCAGGAACAGAGGGGTGCCATCTCCCCCACTCTCCAAAAAGGAGATGTCTGGGAGCCCTGACTGAGGCCACCCTGCAAAACCCTTGCCTTGCTGAGAAAAAAGGAGCGAGGGGTAGCCCCATCCAGGAGGCCTTTGTCCACCACAAGGAAAAAAAACCCACACGCAACAAAAACAGGGAGTAGTTTCTGGTCCGGAGGAAAAACACTAATACTGAGGATCCCTGGGAAGAGAGGCTACTTATTAGGAAAAAGTGGATCAGATGTTTCCTGGTGGGAGGAGCCCATCTCAGGTGTGGCTGTCTTGGAATATGACATTTTTATTGCAGAGGATGCCTACAAATCTGACTTCTATTAGTGAAGACTTCAGGGAAAAGTGGTCAGCTAATCACACAAGCAGGAAATTACAGTTGTGGGAATGTTCTATACACCAGTAGTATATGGAACACCTCCATGTTACCAAATTGTGGAACTATGCACACCTTGGATCCAGCCTGCTGGAGTTCCCGGCCAGCCGCATCTTCAGGCAGTCAGCTTCAAATCTTGATCGCTGGCAGCATTCATTGACTGGGTGGGTGTGAGGTCAAGTTCACAGATGCACAGGAGTGCAGTCAGCTTTAGCATTGACAACTTTCTACAGTTAGTTGCAAGTGCGCAGCTCAATATTTAGCTAGAGTTCCACTTTATATTTTAAAGAAATCTACAACACTGCAGATTGAAAATAGGGATACACATAACTTGGCAAGGAACCCAACCATACAGAAGAAAATATATAACATATATACACACAACAACTGTAGTTAATTTTTCTATAAGTGTACAACACTGTACCAAAAGTAAGTGTGTCAAGTGTGTCACCAACACACGTTCGGTCTTTTTTTTAGAGATGTTTTATTGGAAACTTTAAATACATGTTGCCAACATGATCCAATACAGACATGGGCATAAAGAATTACGCAGGATGGTGTTGTGGATGAGTGCTTTAAAAAGGAAAATGCAAGTCTTTTAAGAGTGCTCTTCTGCAAGTTTTTCAGCCTTTGTTACGGCTTCTTCAATGGGTCCAACCATGTAAAAAGCTTGTTCTGGTAGATTATCATATTCCCCTGTCAAAGAAAACAGCATTTTAGTTGAGAAGGAGAAAAGAAAACAAAACCAACCCCCACACAGGAAAGAGGACACACACACAGGCCAATGACAAACGACTTATCTGAGCAAGGTATAACGAAGTACCGAAAAGATCTACAGTTATCTACCTGGCAGTTGAGGGAATTGAGACTGAGCAAAATTAATTACTTGAACATGATAAAAGTAAAGACCTGGTCCAGGCAAACAAAATGGAAAAAAAAACAAAAACTCTTGTTTGGGCTACTGGCAGCCTAGGGTGTTTTTCAAAATGAACCTTTAATTTTGCACTTGCCATTTTGCTACAAGTTCTGACTACCAAAAAATTACATTAGAAGTCCTACTCAATGTCACTAAGAAAATATACCTTGGAGGATTTGCTTGAAACCCTTGATTGTTTCCTTTAGTGGAACAAGTTTACCAAGATGTCCTGTGAAGACCTCAGCAACCTGGAAAGGTTGCGATAGGAAACGCTGGATCTTACGGGCTCTAGCCACAGTCAGTTTGTCTTCTTCTGACAATTCATCCATACCCAAGATGGCAATGATATCTTGCAAAGACTTGTAATCCTATAAGGAAAGTGAAAATTCAGCACTTCTAAGCAGTTCACAGCAAAACAAGCACCACCCACACAGCAAAACCACTTACCTGCAAGATCTTCTGCACTCCACGAGCAACATCATAATGCTCCTCGTCCAACAATATTGGGGTCCATAATACGAGAAGTGGAATCCAAGGGATCCACCGCTGGATAGATTCCTAGCTCAGCAATAGCACGTGACAGCACAGTTGTGGCATCCAAGTGAGCAAAGGTGGTAGCAGGAGCAGGATCAGTCAAATCATCAGCAGGCACATAGATAGCCTAGAAGTAAGAGGAAGACAATAAGACAAGACAAACCACAATTTGATAAAAGTCCACACTTTCCTGCCAATATCAGAAGAAAGAAACGGCTTCAGCAAACTCAGAAGAACGAAAGTCTGACATCATTCATCACAACAGGCAATTGTCGATCTCAACTTTAAAATATTTCGACACTCCAGCCAGCATTCTATGTAAATTAAAATATTTATAAACACAAACCTGCACAGAGGTAATAGATCCTTTTTTTGTGGTTGTGATCCTTTCCTGCATGGTACCCATATCAGTAGCCAAGGTTGGCTGGTAACCAACAGCAGAGGGAATACGACCCAGCAAGGCAGACACCTGCAACAAGAAATGGTTTTACTTACAGGAGAACCAAAGAAACAAACCACACAGACCCACAAACGGGATTATACACGTTTATAAGACAAGGAAGCCATGGAAGGTACATTCTTATACATCACCTCTGAGCCAGCCTGAGTAAACCTGAAGATGTTGTCAATGAAAAGTAGCACATCTTGTCCTTCTTGATCTCTAAAGTATTCAGCAACAGTAAGACCAGTCAAGGCTACACGAGCTCTGGCACCTGGTGGTTCGTTCATCTGTCCATATACCAGGGCTACCTGCAGATGAGATACATATAGCTGAATTATGTAACAGAACATCAATGATCCACAAGGCACATCATTGAACTTTTGCACACTAGAAGAAAAACAAGCTTTGCTCTATACTGAAGAAATAGGTCAGCACCTAAAAAAAAAAAAAACCTGTCTATTATGCGAGTTTGTGGCAGACACTTTAGCAAACTGGCATTTATTCTCATTAATCCAAAGCAGAACACCCAGCATCTACATATACACAAAGAAAAAAAAAAAAAAAAAAAAAAAAAAAAAAACCCACACAGCAAGTTCTACTTTTGCTCTTCTACCATGTTTTAGACCCCCCTTTCCCCAGGTTACAGGTACCCGCTGCCACCCCCCGCTTGCCTATGCAAACGGAGCTGAAGTTCAGAGACACTCTTCCCCCTAGATATGTCACAGGAGGCTGCAGGTCCATTCAGACAGTACCATGCTGCTCGTGCAGTGGCTTCTCCACCTCCAAGCAAACCATATACCAATCAGCTTGATTAAGAGAAGTACTATTCTTACCAAGAACCATGCTGTGGGAAAACCAATAAAATGATAGTAAATACAGTGTAGTAGGTTCAGCATATTAGAAAGTTACCACAGGCAACTTTCCACTCCTTAGTAGGGAAAAAGGACAAAATGTGTGGGCATTAACAAAAGAGTAAAAGGTAAACTGGATTACTTTCCTGAGAGGTGGGGTTATACTTAGAGCCAATTACAGCTCTTCTGTTTTGTACATAACCTCTTCAGCTCAATAATGTCACGTCTGTGCTATGTTTAGCCACTTTAATACCAGAAACTTCTACCCCCTTCCTGCTCAGGCCAAATTTTCATATTCCAGCACCATCACACTCTGAATGCCAGTTAGTTACTCAGGCATGCAACACTGTACCCCAAAAATAAAAATTAAATATAAAAATGATTTAACATTGACAAAAACCCACAGTTATAAAATTTTTTACAAGCTTTCCAAAATTTTAGGCCAAAATGCATTCCGCTACATTTCATTGGTAAAAATAACCCAAATCAGTGTACATTATTTAGTCTGTGTGAAAATTAAAAACATACAACAGGGGTAGGCAACCTTTCAGAGGTTGAGGTCTTCCTGGATCCCCAAAGCAGCATCCCCTGTCCATTTCTCAACCAAATCCCCCCCACTGTAAAATGATGGGGGGGGGGGTTGAGTGACCACCCAGAAGTGACCACGCCATTTCCTCCTAGCCCTTTAGGAGGCTCTAGATGCCGAGAGGCAGAGGCTGGCATTCTGATCATGTGACTGGTGGTCACATGGGAAAGCTCCTGATCACAAATAGGTCTCGGAAGCTTCCTAATACCTGACGGTAAATGTGCTGGGAGCGCAGCGTCACAGAAATGTTTACATTGGAACCCATATGGGGGGCCTCTGCGCTCTAGCCCACCCACCAAGAGGCCACATATATGTGTACGGCCAGGAGGAAGAGGTTAACCGCAGTAGAGTAATCAAGTGACTAGGCTGGGTGTACAGAGTAGCGGTGCTCTGTAAATCTCTGAACCAGGTGGACTGAAGAAAGTAATTTTGCAAGTAAAGCAACTTCCATACATTTGTGTCCATGAGGTTTTTTTAGCAGTTTGTCAGGAACTCAGCTGCAAAGTGTCCTATATTTTAGGGCCCTAAGAAACCAGATCTACTCAAGATTTTTATAATAGAAACAGGGAAAACAAAAACCTTTGATGTTGTGTCCTTCAGGTTGATGACACCAGACTCAATCATTTCATGGTACAGATCGTTTCCTTCACGGGTACGTTCTCCCACACCAGCAAACACGGAATACCCACCATGAGCTTTAGCTACATTGTTGATCAGCTCCATAATCAATACAGTTTTACCCACACCGGCACCACCAAATAAACCTAAAGTGAGGGGGGGGGGGGGGGGGGGGGGGGGGGGAGATAAAATAGATTAGATATTCCTTACACCACAATCCATTTTCTGACAATTAGAGAGTTTCCTCATCAGATTCAATCAGTTACTTCAGATGGTCTCAGAAGAACGAAAGTCAAAAGTTAGAATCATCATAAGAGGAAGCTTACATATGGAGATGCTATTCCCCTGCAATCTTAAAACCACACTCAACAGGGGGTGAAGAGAATGCAAACACCACAAACACCAGCCACTCTGGGATTTGTAGTGCACATAACTCCAATTAACCACTTGCCCTCCAGAGGATTTGACAGACCATTTTTTTGTGGTAGGACGCTGCGTTACTTAGCTGACAATTTCACGGTCATGCAGAGCTGTACATAAATAAAATTTAAGTCCTTTTACTCCCCCAAGTAGAGCTTTCTTTCAGTAGTGTCTTATCACCTGTGCGGTTTTTATTTTTTGTGCTATTAACAAAGATCGACAATTTTTTGAAAAAAAAAAAAATTATTATTTTTTTTTTTTACTTTACGATAGCACATCCAGTAAAAAAAAAATTTTACAAAAAACAAAATGTCTTCATAAATTTAGGAAAAAAAAAAAAAAAAAAAAAAAAAAAAAAAGTATTCTGCTACATGTCTTTGCTTAAAAAACAAAAAACGCCCAATACATGTAAATCAATTGGTTTACGTGAAAGTTATAGTGTCTACAAATGGTGGATATAGAGAGATATATAGACACATACATTTTTAAGTCTCCAGTGACACCAATACAGTGATCAGTGCTAATAAAGGGAAGGGTTTAACATCCAGGGGCAAAGGATTGATTGATTTTACATGATGTACTGTGAGTTATTAGTCATGCTGCTGTGCAGAAAAATACAAAGCAGCATGTCTTTTGCACACAGGTCTCTCCCCTCTGCACGGTGATGGCCGGTGGGAATTTACAGCTGGGACCCGGTGATTGACATCCCTAGCCGCCAATGGTGGCGCGGGTAGGGTAGCGCATGCCCCCAACCCGGAAATATAAAACACATGATTTTGCACAGCCCTGCAGCAGTCCTACTATAGGGTGGCGGGCAACCGATTAACGTGCACTGCTTATTCCAAACAACAAATGATGATGGGGGGGGGGGGGGGGGGGAGGGAGAGATTCCGGACCTCCTGGAGGAGGTAGCAAATAACACAGTAAGGAAAAAAATAAGTACCAGGCACTTAATCTTTGCCAGGTCTTGCTTCTGAATTCCATATCTTTGGGATGTCTCTCCCATGCAAGGAAGCCACATCACAGTGAAGGCGCTGTAGATGTGATCTGAGCATGTTTAGGTGATAACTGCTGACAGGCCAGGAGAGGCATGTATGACAGAAGAGACCACTAGGGTCCAATATCTGTTATAAAGAGGCAGTTCAAATCAATATATATGGGCAGCACAGTGGCTAAATGGTTAGCACTCCCACCAGGCAGCACTAGGGTCGTTGGTTCGAATCCCAACCGCGGCACCACCTGCCTGAAGTTAGCATGTTCTCCCTGTGCCTGCGTGGGTTTCCTCCGGGTACCTCCCACACTCCAAAGACATGCTGGTAGGTTAACTGGATCCTGTCTAAAATTGGCCACAATATGTATGAATGTGAGTTAGGGACCTTAGATTGTACACCCTTTAAGGGTCAGGGACTGATGTGAATGTACAATATATATGTAAGGCGCTGTGTAAATTGACGGCGCTATACAAGTACCTGTAATAAGTAAATAATTACCATTTTAAAACGATGAATGTGTGTGAATGATAAAGGAGAGCAAGGATATAATTTAGTGTCAATTTAATTTCACTCCTACTGCAATAATGTTTTAATACAACTTTGAGACTGGGAATAAATCCTCTGGAGGGCAAGCGATTAAAAAAGCACTACGGCCAACCTGCCCATATGTGAACTGGCTCCATAGAAAGCCAGTTTGGTTCACACGGCATGCAAGTCAGGTGTTCAAAAACGCATTTAACATATGTGAACGGGGCCATTAAACCCCCCCCCCCCCCCCCCACAAACACACACCAAAACAAAAAAACCCCCACACATACCGATTTTTCCTCCTTTAGCATATGGAGCCAAAAGGTCCACCACTTTAATGCCAGTGACCAGGATCTCTTGCTCAACGCTCATTTCTACAAACTCAGGAGCCTCAGCATGGATAGCAGCAAACCTACAGACAAAAGTTTAGGTTAGTGAACATAGCATTTTGGGGAGAGAAAAAAAAAAAAAAAAAAAAAAAAAAAAAAAAAAAAAAAAGGGGGGGGGGGGGGGGGGCGGCAGAGGAGGAGAAGAGTTAAAGCTTGTTGTAAGATGCTTTATTCTACTCTGACTGTCCTATGAGACTGAACGACACCTCCCCCCCCCCGGTCTGGACAGCACTTAGACCTGTGCGGATCACATGCACGCCTAAAGAAATCTCTAGCAAACCACTAAACTGAGCATGTGCAGAGTGACCCCTAGAGCTCTGTACAATCAGCAAATGGAATGGGGACAGTAGAAGGGGAGAAGAGAAGAAAGGATCAAACATCCTTTACACAATGCAGAGGATTAACCCTTAGGTTCCACAGTGAGTATAACAAGCATGCTTTATTGCAGATGTAGACTGATTTCACTGTTATGGGTTTAAGCAACACTTTTATGGGCAGACAAGACATTTGAGAGTTCTTACTAGGCTTACAGTACAGAATTAGTTTTACTTTGCAGGCTGTTTGAAAGAGTGAACGTTGAAAGGGGGGGGGGGAATTCACACACAACTTACTGTTTTGTTGTAATTGGGCCCCTTTCATCAATGGGTTCACCAATGACATTCATAATTCTTCCAAGGGTCTCAGGCCCCACAGGAATTCTAATTGGTGTGCCAGCATCGAGAACTTTTTGCCCTCTGACTAAACCTTCAGTACCATCCATAGCAATGGTACGAACAGTGTTTTCACCTGAAAGCAGAATATAAAGCACTAGATAAGCCTAGGTCAGAAAGGGGCTTTTATGATGTTATTACATACATTCCTCTCAGATCAGCAAGTTGCTTCAGGAGGCTCAGAAGAACGAAAGTCATGATTTTAGATCATCAATGAAGGAATTTGATATTTTTATGAAAATTTCTTAAGCTGCAGTTAACATTAACCACAAGACAAAAATAAACAGACTATAATTACCCAAGTGTTGAGCCACTTCCAGAACCAGTCTGGTGTCCCTGCCCTGGACCTCCAGAGCATTTAGAATAGGTGGAAGGCCTTCATCAAACTGGACATCAACGACGGCTCCAATGACAGCCACGATACGGCCTACAGCTACACCAGGTTTAGCTGCTGGGGAAGCCTGTGCTGCATAGTCTCGCCCTAAAAAGAAAGAACACAGGTTTTCCAAGCAAACTTCAAAAAAAGGTACACATCTGTACTAAAAGAAAACATACACTCTACGACTCCATGCACACTGGCTTAAAAAGATGCCAGTGCTCTTTGCAGGGAAAAAAAAAAAAAAAAAAAAAAAAAAAAAAAAAAAAAAAAAAAACAACAAAAACCCCCTCTATACACCCTTTTTACACATAGGATAAAGTTAATTGCTTCTAAAGGTAAAACACTAAACTCTTTGAGGAACAGTTTTTTTTTTGTAAGTCAATGTGCATGGAGCGTTAGAACCAGCATATAGCCTACAGCAACACTTAAAGGTCTATTTCCCAATTTTTTTTGCACAACGTTCATGGGCCCATTCATATTATTTGCAGTTACCTGTAGTTTTTTCTCAATGAAAAAATACAGGTACAGCACTGATGGAATACAATAGTCATCTGTGTGTCATGTTCACACCAGAATGTCCCAGATCTGTACATTATACAACATGTGTGCATAAACACCGCTCTGAATGGCCCAGCATGGCACCGCTTACCACACTGCTGTGTGGTGACATGAATGAAGTGTCACAGTGTACACTTCAAATTGTATATTAACAGCATTTTTTTTGTTTTAGATAGAGTGGAGCGCGATTGGAACTCCTGTCAGATTTTTTCATTACTGTCTGGGCCTGCTGGAGAGATTTGCCTTATTTGTTCTGCTTACCGTAAGCCCTCATTCACACTGATGTTATAAAAACCACCAGCAGCGTTAGCCGTAGGAATCCGCGCTAACACAAGTTTTGTATTAGCATTTTTCACAGTTTGCCAACTCTTTTAGTAAAACTACACTCCCACAAAAGCGTGAGGCTCAAAAATGCCAGTTAGCCACATTTTTCAGCATTAGTGCATTTTTACAGCAGAAACACTTTAAAAATCGCATTAGTTCTGGGCTCTGTCCAGCCTCAGAACACTCCTGCCAAAAAACACTTAGGATAACATGCTGGGGAGTTTACTGGCTGCAGAAAAAAAAAATGCCGACACTTAACAGCTGTAAAAAAACACCCAGGGTGCACGAGGTCTCATCACTGAAAGAAAATCCCAAGTTTTAAGTTGAAACCAAAAGAGTAAGGGCCAGTTCACACTACATGCATTTTGGTTGCTTTTTTCTGCATCCAAAATGCAGAAAGTAGGTTATATGGTTGACCATGTCATAGCTCACATCAGTGCTTGCAGTTCCAGTGCGTTGTTTGCAGAAAAAAAAAAAAAAAACGAACATGCTGCATTTTTTCTGCACAGAACTGTACTGGAAGACTGTAAAATGCACCGAAACACACGTCCCTATTTTAAGAAAAAGAGGGAAAAAATTAACTGGAATACATTAAAAAACGCATCTAAAACATTCATGCGGAAACACATCTGGACTGCATTTCTATAGTGTGAATCAGCCCCATGAGAAGAAATCTTCCACTGGTAACACTGAGATTTTCTCACTTTGGAGGGATTTCACTGTGGTAGGACCTCCTCACCTCCTGTTTTGGCTATGGGACTGGAAGTATATAAAAAAAAAAAAAAAAAAAAATCTCTTGTATAGGACACAGATGGCCAAAAACCCCAACAGGGGTTATAACCCTCCCTTTCTCCATCCAAAATTTAAAAGGTGGAGTGATGTGCTAAAAAGCGCATCACACTGCAACATCCAGCAGCAGGCTTTTTTGCCATCAATCCCAATTAACCGCCTCCCACCCGCCATATAAGGTAATGGTGGGTGCAAGACAGTTCTCTCATTCTGGGAGGACGCCATATGACATCCTCCCACTAACCGCGCATGCGTGGCTCCAGAAGCACGGCAATCGGTGGTGCGCTGTGTCCCTCGGACACAGTGGATCACCGATCAATGGAAACAGCTGAAGATGTCGGCTCAGTCATGTGAGCAGCTGTGTCCAATCACAGCTGATCGCGTGTAAATAGGGAAATGCCGGTTATCGGCATTTCTCACCTCATGAGCTGCCACACTGACAGCTCGAGAGGACAGGAGAGCCGGTAATCGGCATTCCACAGAGAGGACATCTACACTGATCATCAGGGCACTGATCAGTGTGCCCTGATGATGTGTAGCCCCAGCAGTGCCACCTGTCAGTGCTCATCCATGCCACCTGTCAGTGCCCAATGCACATATGCCACATATCAATGCCACATATCAATGTCTACCAGTGCGCATCAATGCCACATATCAATGTCTACCAGTGCGCATCAATGCCACATAACAGTGCCCATCTTAGCTGCCTTTCATTGTCACCTATCAATGCCAGTCAGTGCCGCCTCGTTAGCACACATCAATGGAGAAAAATCACTTATTTACAAAATATTATAGCAAAAACTAAAAAAAAAAAAAAAAAAAAAATTCTTCAAAGTTTTCACTTTTTGATTTAGCAAAAAATAAAAATAAGGGGAGGAAGTGTATAAAGATAAGGTGAAAGTTGTTTATATTAGTGGCATGGAGTCAGCAATCTTGCTGTTTGTGCCCCTTCTAGGGAGATATTCCTGTGTCCTGGTGACCACTGTCACCAGAATCTAGCTGTCTGTGACCTCTGTTAGGGGTTGGCCCATACTTGGAAGAAGTGCAGAAAAATCACACAGGCAGAAAAACCTTGTGAAAGATTTAAAGCAAACCCTTACTGGGGTGGGGGGGTTAATCATATGAATAGGCTCATACACTGTCTTCAATGTTCCAGGGCACCTGACAACAAATCAGAGAGTCTCCAACTTGCTGTCACCCTTAAGGAAAAAAAAAAAAAAAAAAAAAAAAAAAAAAAAAAAAAAAGGGGATACTAGTAGATGTTTTAAAAGCACCAATGGCAGAATCTTCCATGCGTTTGCAGAAATGCTGCAGCTACTGGTGGGGAATACGGGGACACGCGTTTCCCAGATTGACCTTCAAGCCCTGGGACTATAGAATCAGGAGGCACAGCAAGCAGAACGATACGACCCCTCCCCGGAAAGCAAAGCTCTGCAGTGTGTAGTGATCATCGGCCTTGCCGGGAGCGCAGGCGGCACAGAGGCTGACAGCACGTGAAGGCCGCACACAAGGTCAGGGATGAAGCAGGGGGATTAGGTCACACAGGACCAGCCCTCCACGTACAAGTCCTTCAGGAGGCCACTAGCGCCCCCTCTAACCATTGAAGCGTTCCTCCCCCCTTTCCCCGGTGAGGCTCGACATGTCATGCAGACAGAGCGCCGTGTCTCAGGCCCAGCCCGCACCACACAGGCCTGACCCGCCATTCAATGACAAGGCTAGGTCACCATGTAATGCGGCGCCCGGGGATACTTACGGCAGTGCAGGGCTGCAGGAGCGCTCCTTAGCAGGCCCTGGAGAGCGCTGGCGGCCGGCTTGAAGGCCTTTAAGGCCCCGGCGGAGCAGCGTCCTACAGCTCCTAACATGGCGGCGTCACAAGCGGAGAGCAGCAGCAGAGAAGGAGCACTCAGCAGGTCTAGCGCCGGGGGCGGGTACAAGAAGGGCAGCGGATAGCACGCAATGACACGTCACGGGGAGGGCTCCGTCGCGGTTTGAGGAAGCTGGTGCCGCTGTAGTACATTTTCTGTTCCTATTGGATAATATAGGCAATGTGGGCTCGTAAGTCTCAATAGGGCGGGGTGCGGCAGCCAGTTGGGTGTCAATCACTGGTTGGGCGTGGCTTGAGTGGCGGTGTGACCTGCGCGGTCATGTCCTTCAGTGTCTTTGAGGGAAGAATAGTGGTGGTGGCACACGTGGAGGCGTGTATAGGTCAATATCAAGGTGTCCGTGGACTTGTGCTCTGTCATGTGTAGTCACTACTGTTCTGCGCAGTGGGCATGTACGGGTTCTGTGTTACTCGCACTGCTCTATGGGAAAGAATGACAGGGCCTGTCAGGGCAGGTGTGTTTATGGGGACACCTGTGATATGTGAGTGTACTCTGCATTTCAATTTAATATTAACCACTTGCCCTCCTGAGGATTTACCCCACTTACTGACCAGGCCATTTTTTATGTTATGGGGCTGCGTTACTTTAACTGACAATTGTGCAGCCATGCAACGCTGCACCCAAATGAAATTTACGTCCTTTTTCCCACAAATTGAGCTTTCTTTTGTGGGTATTTGATTGCCTGTGTGTTTTTCATTTATGCACTAAAAAAAGCAACAATTTTGAGAAAAAAACATTTTTTGCTATTAAACATGTCCAGTATAAAAATGTAAACAATCAAATTTCATCATAAAATTTAGGCCAAAATGTATTCTGCTACATGTCTTTGCTAAAAAGAAAATCCTAATACGTGTAAATTATTATTTACATGAAAGTTATAGAGTTTGCAAATGGTGGTATAGATATAGAATTTTTTTTTCTACTAGTAATGGTGGCAATCAGCGACTTATAGCGGGACTGCGGCGGACATTCTGACACTGGGGGGAACTGACATTCTCAGTGACACCAATACAGTGATCAGTGCTTAAAAAAAAAAAAAAAAAAAAAAAGTACTGACACTGTACTAGTGGCACTGGGCAGGAATGGATTAACATTTGGGGCGATCAAAGGGTTAACTGTGTGCTGGGAGTGTTTTACTACGGGGCCATGTCAGTGTGTTTCACTGTAAGCACAGGGCTTTGGATATCAAAACAAAATGCAAACGTGTCGCGCTCCACTAATGTCATTAAATGTGACATCCTAGATTGTAAGCTTGAAAGAGCAGGGCCCTTGATCCCCTCATGTTTTGCATTGTATTGGTATTGTTCTGTCACATGTTCTGTCCCCCTTTGTAATGTACAGCGCTGAGCGAACTATTGGCGCTTTATAAATACTGTAACAAAAGGATATATATAATATCCTTGATCTCGTCTTCTCCAACCGCTGCGCTCCCCACAACCTCACTAACACCCCCTTCCCTCTTTCTGACCACAACCTGATCACCTTCTCTATCTCCTCGTCCTCCAACGCCTACCCCTCCAAATGTCACACTACTACCAGCCGTAACCTCCGCAACCTTAACCCTGCCTCCCTCCACTCTGCAGCTGATCAACTCCACGACAGCATCCTCCCCCTGTCCTGCCCCGACTTGGCTATGACTGCCTACAACAATGCGCTCTCAACAGCCCTTGACTCACTAGCGCCTTTAACCACACGCAACATCAGACCCTGGCTGCTCCACCCCTGGCAGACTGATCACACCAAAACCCTCAAACGATACAGTCATGCCCTGGAGCGACTATGGCGCAAAACCAAATCCCAACAAGCCTTCACCCGCTACAAATCTGCCTTCCATACCTACACCGCCTCCCTCCACGCAGCCAAACAAGCCTACTTCCTGACCCTCATCAAGGCCCTCTCCTCCAATCCTCCCCGACTCTTCTCCACCTTCAACTCTCTACTCTCCCCACCTCCACCCAGCACCTCACTCACTGCCCTTGAGATTGCCAATCACTTCAAAAACAAGATTGACACAATTCGCAAGGACATCGCCGCAACTCACACGCCCTCTCAACCTGTCCCCTCTCGCACAGCTACCCCCTCATCCCCCCCTCCCCTCGACATAACCCGCAGGGACTTCGTCGCTGCTCAAACTCCCTCCAACCCCGTTCCCCCTCACTCAGCTACCCCCCTCATCACCCCCTCTCCCACGGCCCCACCACTTGTCTGACCTCCACCCCACCCTTCATTCCTCATACTGAAGCCCCCCCAACACTTCACACCTTTGACCTTACTAACATCGAGGAAGTCTCCAAGATCCTCTCTGATGCCCGCCTCACCACCTGCCCCCTCGACCCTATCCCCTCACAACTCCTACGACCTCCCTCCCCCTCCATCCTACGCTCCCTCACCCACATCTTTAATCTCTCCCTCTCCTCCGGCACTTTCCCCTCCCCTCTGAAACATGCACACATCACCCCCATACTTAAAAAGCCCTCCCTGGACCCCAATGACCCGAACAACCTCAGACCCATCTCCCTGCTCCCATTTACAGCTAAACTCCTCGAGCGCCTAGTCTACACCCGCCTAAGCTCTCACCTCAACAACAACAACCTCCTCGACCCCCTACAGTCCGGCTTCTGTCCCCTACACTCCACTGAAACTGCCTTACTCAAACTCTCCAACGACCTGCTAACCACCAAAGCTAATGGCCACTATTCAGTGCTCCTACTCCTTGACCTCTCTGCGGCCTTCGACACAGTCGACCACCCCCTCCTCCTCAAAAAACTACACTCCCTCGGCCTCAGAGATTCTGCTCTCTCCTGGCTCTCATCCTACCTGTAACAACGCTCTTTCAGCGTTACCTATAATGCTACCACCTCCCCCTCTCTGTTGGGGTCCCTCAAGGCTCCGTCCTCGGGCCCCTTCTCTTCTCCATCTACACCCTCCATTCGCCAACTCATACACTTTCACGGCTTCAACTACCACCTATATGCCGACGACACACAAATCTATCTCTCAACCCCCCACCTCACCCCCTCAGTCTCTGCCCGAATCACACACCTACTGAGTGACATATCTGACTGGATGTCGCTCCACTTCCTTAAACTGAACCTCTCCAAGACAGAGTTTCTTGTCTTCCCACCAGCCCGGACACCACCCCCCCATTGACTTCTCCATCACATCCAACAACGCCACCATCAAACCCGCCCCGCAGGCCAGAGTACTTGGTGTCATTCTGGACTCCAATCTATCCTTCCAGCCCCAAGTCCAATCTTTAACAAGCTCGTGCAGACTCCACCTCCGCAACATTGCCAAAATACGCACGTTCCTAACCCCAGAAACCACTAAACAGCTCATCCACTCCCTCATCATATCACGACTCGATTACTGCAACTCCCTCCTTACTGGCCCGCCTCCCCGCTTCAGTCGATCCTGAATACGGCAGCCAGACTCATTCACCTTTCCATCCTCTCCATCTCCGCCACCCCCCTCTGCCAATCCCTCCACTGGCTTCTGATTGCGCAACGCATCAAATTCAGAATCCTAACACTGACGTACAAAGCTGTCCACCATACTGCCCCGAACTACATCACTGACCTAATATCCAAGTACCACCCAGCACGCACACTCCGCACACTCCGCTCCTCACAAGACCTCCTTCTCTCTAGTTCCCTGGTCTCCTCCTCCCATGCCCGCCTCCAGGACTTCTCCAGGGTGTCACTAATCCTCTGGAACTCCCTGCCCCAACCCATCAGATTATCACCTACTCTCCTCTCCTTTAGGCGCACCCCGAAAACCCATCTCTTCAGGGAAGCCGAAGCCTACCCCACCCCCTGCTAACTTGCCGACCTCCTCCACTCTTCCTACCACTTCATCCCCCACAGCTATCTCCTCCGGTGCCACCATCCCCTCCCTCCTAGATTGTAAGCTCGAAAGAGCAGGGCCCTCAATCCCCTCATGTTTTGCATTGTATTGTTATTGTTCTGTCACATGTTCTGTCCCCCTTTGTAATGTACAGTGCTGAGCGAACTTTAGGCGCTTTATAAATACTGTATAATAATTATATATATATATATATATATATATATATACACACACACACAGTGAAGGAAATAAGTATTTGATCCCCTGCTGATTTTGAAATGTTTGCCCACTCACAAAGAAATGATCAGGCTAAACATCGAATGGTAGGTGTATTGTAACACTGAGAGACAGAATAGCAAGAAGAAATTCAAAAGAAATGCATGTCTAACAAATGATGCACTGATCTGCATGTTCATGAGGGGAAAAAGTATTTGATCCACTTCACAAAACAAGACTTAGTACTTGGTGGCAAATCCCTTGTTGGCAATCACAGAGGTCAGACGTTTCCTGTAGTTGGCCACTAGGTTTGCACACATCTCAGGAGGGATTTCGGCCCACTGCTCTTGGCAGATCCTCTCCAAGTCATTAAGGTTTGGTGGCTGACGTTTGGCAACTCGAACTTTCAGCTCCCTGGCTAGGCCACTCCAGGACCTTAATGTGCTTCTTCTTGAGCCACTCCTTTGTTGCCTTGGCCGTGTGTTTTTGGGTCATTGTCATTCTGTAACACCCATCCACAACAAATTTTCAATGCCCTGGCTGAGGGAAGAAGGTTCTCACACAAGATTTGATGGTACATTGCCACGTCCATCGTCCCTTTGATGTGGTCCAGTTGTCCTGTCCCCTTAGCAGAAAAACACTCCCAAAGCAGAATGTTTCCACCACCATGTTTGACAGTTGGGATGGTGTTCTTGGGGTCATAGGCAGCATTCCTCCTCCTCCAAACACAGCAAGTTGAGTTGATGCCAAAGAGCTCGATTTTGGTCTTATCTGACCACAACACTTTCAACCAGTCCTCCTCTATATCATTCAGATGTTCAGTGGCAAACCTCAGACGGGCCTGGATATGTGCTTTCTTGAGCAGGGGGACCTTGCAGGCACTGCAGGATTTCAATCCTTGTCAGTGTAGTGTGTTA